GGCTGTTTTTGTCTTTATTGAAGCCAGTGGACTGCCCCGCTGTCTCCACGATCCAACCCATGGAAAGAAAGTGGAGTGTCCAAAATGTTGACTGGTGAGCTGGACTGACTGGAGGGCGTCGCGCAGACAGAGGTCTGCTGGTTGTAGAAAGGGGAAAAAATCACAGATGAACTTTAAATAATTACGCTGATGAGCGCGGGGGTGGATCAATCCAAGTAAAACAAACATAGTCTAGTGTATAAAACAAACAAACAAAACAAACAAACAAAAAAAGAGGAAAGAAAATTGATAGCTTCCTTTCTTTGTGGAACAATTATTGTGGAAACATTTCTATATTGTTAGAATATTATCATTAACAATTTTATCTTTGGCAGCTGTATAGTTTTTAAGTTAAGACGATGATGGTGCACTTTTTACTGTACTTCTCACTTATATGTTGTTGTTGTTATGGCAATGATTGATGATGATGACGATGATGATGACGTAGCAATTAATGAAATTTCCAACAACATGAAACTGCCTATTTATGCCGTTTTAGTAGGTCGGGTCTCTTTTTTACACACTCTAATTGTCGTTTTAGTTCGTTTTTTGATCAGTGGTGTTTGTTTTATGTTGTCTTCCTTTTTTCTCTTTTTGGGTAAAAAGCATGCGCACAGTGCAGATTAAAAAGAGAACATTCATAAAAATAAAAAGGAGAAAAGTGTAATAAAAAATATCTGGTTTGTGCATTTAATGTGAAGCACAGCTCTGTTATAAGTTAGTTATTGTTGTTTAAGCTTTTACAGGAAGGAAAGAAGTTTAGAGGCGTTGCTTCCCTTTTCTTTTCTCCTTCTTCACACACACTTTCTCCCCATCCTTCCACTCACTCTCTCCCTTCTTCCCCTTTTTCCTGCGCCGCCTCCTCCTCCTCCTCACAACCCTCTCATCCCCTTCCTCCGTCCCTCTCTGCACACGCTGTCAGCACCCAGACTGATAAAACCGTTCAGTTCACAGGGCAAGCATTTAAGCCTCGAGTCGGAAATATCCCCACCTCCCCACTGCTACCACTCACACTCACTCACACTCACACAATCTACATCCTATCCAAACATCACTTTATTTATAGCCTGGTCCTCCACCTCCACTTACAATATTACAGGCCTCTATGCACTGCCCTCCATCATAATCAAGATGACGACTTGATGCCGGATTGCTTCCATATGGCGAGATCAAACACACTAAACATGCATGTTTACACATTCGTATATATCTTAATGCAGTGTGGACTTCGTGGCGAGACAAGAGTCTTATCAAAGCTCTAAATATTTTACCAAGTTTTCTGACGTTGATTGGGAAAGAGATTCAGGATGCACGTCTTGTCTGGCATGAAATAGGAAGTTCACCACTTCAGCGGGAGCATAGGCAGAGATGGTGCTTCTGTGTCAAACGGGTGAACACAATCAAACAGGCAGAGAATATAAGAAGCGAAGAGCCGTTTATGATGGAGTTCTCCTCAATATGAATAATTCCAAATCAAAGCTCAACGTGACGCGATCTGGGGGGGGTTGTGCAATGCCGTTGCAGGTTGTTCCTGTTTGATATATTTATGTTTTGAAAGCCTGGCATTACCGGTTGTAAAGATAAGCAGCGCTGATCAGATGTTATAAGTTACTTCGGTTGAATATTGCACTTCCATTAAGTTAGGAGACTCACACAGATTTTTAAAATGGTAAAAGTCCTTTCTACATACATTAGTCCCTGCTACCAGTCAAGTTCCAAAAAGTTGTACATTTCCCACAATGCACCATAATAGCACCTTACTAGAGCCTTCTTGCCTACTTAATGTCCAGTTTGTGGTGCAGGCTGTCTGTTCAAATTGGAACATCAAACCCAAGCCAAGGCAAAGCTAATAATGTCACCACTGAAACACTTTAGAAGGCACCAGACACAGACTATATCATAGAACTGTTGTGGAGTAGCATTTCTTGTAACACTAAACTGTACTTCATGGGTCACAATGGCGGTGTGCAACTTTAAGTTGTCCAGCTGGTTAATATTTATAAAATACATAATAGCAGACTGTGTCACAGGCAAGGATTCAATGCCTGTCCTTCTACAAAGACATTAAAATGGGAATCAGTGCATGGCTGGATTTAACTCTTTGAGATACCCTGGGGCAAAAACCTGCTGTTGGGCTCCAGTTGACCCCCTCACACGGTACACAGGGCTTCATTACCAAAACCTTTATCTTTAGAGAACAATATGATCAGTTAGGTTGGATGACATGGCTAAATGACAAGGGTACAATTATACATAACAGCGCAGAAACTTTCCTTACAGCATAATATTGGTGCTAATCCTTAAGTAAACTCAAGTAAAACAGGGACGTCTGGGGGATTGACAAACCTATGTTGGTTATTTTAGACTTCTCTGATATTTCTATATTTGTGTATTTGAAATAACATCTGTGTGCACTTTGTTACAGGAAACTAAAACTGGAGTTTATGCATAAAATGAGTTTATGCAAAGCATCCACATATGGGAGAGGTTCAGACAGCTCTGGCAGTGTTTGCAAATTAAACAAACGAACCTTGTCTTTCTAATCCTATAATTGTTCTACATCCTTCCCGTTAGAGAAAAAAAAATCACAGGAATTTTAACCCCTCATTGGCCTGTTAAACATTACACACTCCGCAGATATTTTGTAGGGATGAACTCAGTGCTGCCTGGCGGAGAAAGGTCAACGTCACGGATCTAAGCGCAGAGTCGAACACTTGCCAGGTGAGTTTCCCAATCATTTTGGGAGGATTCAGATTCAGGGACCAGAACTAATCCGATCTGAGATCATAGACGGAGCTGATACCAACTGTTATATAAAAATGTACTGCTCCCTTTTTTTTCTTCTCAGAATTTCTAATGGATTGTTTTATGAAACATTCAATATCCGCCCTCACTTACTTCTAACCCACTCTGGGCTCTAGATGTGTTTGCCTAGCTTACACCTCTCATATGTCAAGGTTCATGACATTCTGCTGAGAAAAAGAGCCTTCTTTATATTTTGGTATAAAGTTGAATTGCCACAGTCTCTGCGCCTTATGGAATGATTTTCATTTGGCTGATACCGTCCTTCACCTATTAACATTCTGTTTACATGGCCTTCGTCTATTACACTGCCTGCAGCAGCGATATACTGTACACTGCGAGGGAACAACAGCCTGTTTTGTTCTGCTCGGTGGGACCTTCTCTTCTGCGTGTGTAGTTTCTCAAAAGGATGAGTCGGCATAAAACGCTGAAAACAGAGGAAATCCTCCTTTTTTAGCCTTCTCCGCAATTTTACGCACGCCTCTTGTGAAGTCCCGTTCCTAATCAATATCACATCAAAGTGTGGTTTCGTCTTTTCGTGCACAACGTTCCTCCCTTCCAACCAGGAAAGCAACTTAGAAGAAGCCTCAGCCGTGTTTTTTCTTGCTCTACATGCGCTCGGTGATTAGAGGACATGTTCAGAGCTGCTGCGTATTGATTGTGTAATATAGATCGTATTGTATGCTCTGTGCGACTTTTATTCAGTTGGCTATTATTTTGTTCAATGTCTGTCTGTGTGAGAGCGCGGGCGGGTGCGCTGCAGCTATCACTCCCTATGTGTTGCAGCTAATTTCTTCCATTATATTTTTGCATCCAGAGGGAAACCCCGTCAGCCACTGGGCATCGTGGTCACGTGGTTCATGAGGCAATGGAAGAAAGGAGGAGAAAAGTTGCATGGGGTGATTTTTATTTTTATTTTTATTCTTTTGGTGTAAATCTAGAGGGTAATACACTGTCAATAATTCATTGTGCCTCATAAAAAGTCGACACTAAAGCGCCCCAGGTCTACGAATCACCGGCGTCAAATTATGAGTTCGCTCTACTTTGCCAATGCGCTGTTTCCCAAACACCAACAACCCAGTGCGAGCTGTTTCACTCTGCTCCTCACGTCTCCCTCCTCGTTTTTCTCTGCCTCTCCTGATGTGTCATCTTCGTGCGTGCTTGTGTCCAGTGATTATGTCTCCAGTGGCATAGGCAGCAGAGAACCCCCTGTCTTTCTCTTCTTCATCTCCTTCCCCACCTTCAATTCCCTCTTATTCGTCATCATTCTATTTCTCTCTTTCGGGACTACAAGGGACCAACAGGGGTACCAGTCTACATCATATTCTCTGAAACGAGCAGAGGAGAAGTATCGCGAGCTGGGAGGCGTGCGCCTGTGCCCACCTCTGCAGAGATGTTCCGTGAAACGGTTTACCGGTCCACCTCAGCGCTGCTTGCTGCTCACCAGACACCCAGAGCCGCCCTGTAGGGGGCAGATAAGACATCAGCGCCAGATAAACCACCAGAAGCTACGGATTTACCCCTGGATGAAAAACTCAGGTGAGGAGGGGGTAGGGGGAGGGAGGTGGCGATGGGATGGAAACATTATGAAAGATATATTTGCAAGGCCGCACAGGTGAGCTGGGAGAAAGAGACAGGGAAGGAAGGGGCGGAGGAAAGGATAATGTTTAGGTAGTACCTATGGTCTGTGTTCATAGAGAATGGCGGGGGTGGGGGGGGGGGGGGGGGGGGGGGGGGTAAGGATAATGGTTAGGTAGTACCTATGGTCTGTGTTCATAGAGAATGGCGGGTTTGGGGGGTGGGGGGTGGATGGGTGGTATTAGTTCGACCCATAATTAAGCTAAACGCTCTTTAAACTGTTGGTCCGGTTGCGCAGCGGCCACTGCTGGTACCTCAACTATTTCTGCCTGTCCTATTCTCTCTGTCACCTTTTTTTTTACAACCTTTCTCTCTTTTCAGATCTTTTATGGCTCCGCGACCTCCATAAAACCATAATTTAAGACTTGGTGAATATTCATTAGGTGGTATTGTGTTTAAGAAGTGGATAAGGGAGCACAGGGGTGGCTGAAATCTTGTACCAAACAAACTGAAAGTAAAGAAAATCTCCAGAGCAAGATTTCTGTCGCTCACGGTTATCGCTCATATTCAGTGTTTGACACAGCTGAGCCTCTCCGTCCTGATAGCCTTGTCTTTTTCCGTCGGTACTAGCTGGCCCACTGAAAGCCTATTGTGCTATTGTAGTCTCACCACAATCCGCCAATACTTTGAACACTATAAATTAGCAGAGGGGTTTGATCTTTGAATGCCTACCCTTTCTTCAGATTGTAAAAGCGGCTTTGTGCGACAGCAGCGGCCTGGATACTGAATGGTTGTGGGGCCTCGGAGCCTCGAACCCCAACAAACACACGCAGCACAAAGAGCATTTTTATGTTTGAATTAAAATAGTGAATGGTTTCTTGTCAAAACTTGGAAATATTGGGACAACGTCCGTGCGTAAAACGTGCGTAAAAATGAAGAAAGCCACAACAGTTCCTTAAAGCTGTATTCCTTTTTAAATGAGTTTGTGGAGGATAACCAGGTAACTTTTAAGTAATTGGTATTCCTTCCTTTTCTCCATCACCTCACACACACACACAGTGACAGACAAATATTGTTTGTATGTGCTTGTACGCGTTCATGTGTGAGCTCGAGCGCCACCTTTTCATAAGCGCTCATGTTAACGGAACATCCGGGACTTCACTTTTCCCTCCAATCAGCTTCTGTCGCCTTGGTCAGCATTCGGATCTAAATTAAAATCTGTAAATTCATTATTCAAGCTGACTGGATAGGCCTACCTCCCCCCACCCCTTCCATGAGTTACACACACACACACACACACACACACGGAGGAGATAGAGAAGAAGAGATCAGACTCGCCAGGAGGGGGAAAAACATCTTACCTTTTGCTCTCTCTTCATGGTGTGTGCGCTTTTGTTCTCCTTTATTTTATTTTAGGAAATAATCTGAGTATTAAAATTGCAGATGCGGTTCTCTGTTCAGTTATGGTTACAATCCCAGTGGTTTTCCTCATATCACGGGCATGAAAATTTAAATTTTATTAATTTTTTTTAATAATATTTTATAGCTACTCTCTGTACTCCGCCCTTTGTCGAAATAAAAACCCCGACAGGACCTTGATTTTATGGACTTAAAATACAAGCAATTAAACTACTTTTCTTTTCTTGATTTAGTTTCCATCTTCTCATCCTTTTATTAGGCTTCACAAATCTCCAAAGGACAAACAGCCACCAACTCTGCTATAGCTTACACACGCGGCAGTGAACCCAAATCTTAAACAGAGACAGAAATAAATGAGAAGGGCTGTGATGGTTACGGGTTGTCATGCTAATGAGGAGGGACCTGACTAGGTGGACACGCAAGTCTGTGTGAGTGTGTTTTTTCTTCTGCAGAGTGAGGAAAGTGAGGACATTTTGCTCGGTCCTCAATTTCTGAGACACCTTTTTGCGGGTTAAGACTTATGTTTAGGTTAAGATAAAGGTTAGGTTTACGCATTTAGTTCTGATGGTTATGATTGGATTAAGGGGCTAGGGAAAGCATCACACAATGATAGTGTGTGTGTGTGTGTATGTGTGTCTGTGTGAAAAACGAGAGAACACGATACAACCTCTTGATTTTGTTGATTTCCAGAGACTTCCAACTCGAGCTGAAGTGCGAACAAACAGTGCCAGAGCAGTAAAATGCAAACATATTAATACTCCTTCTTTCAGGCTGACCTTTGTTTTCGTTCCTTTCAGGACTTACATTCAGACTTACCCTAAGCTCAACCATAACCACTAACTGTCTGACCCTAACACTTAGCCTGCCCCTAACCTGAGACTAACTTCAGGTGTTCGCCAGTCTTCACCCAAATATTTAATGATTTAGTACAATGGTGGGGGCCAGCAGAGGAAGGCAGAATCCCCACAGTGCGAGAAGGCTAATGCCACACACACACGCGCGTGCACATCATAAGGAATCACCTCTCTTTGTACACAAGAGGAAGTGGCCCACAGATAAACGCACAGTTCCACCTTTCTGACACGCTCACACATAACCTACCCTACTGACCACTGCCTTCCATAAAGTGTGGCGCGCGTTCATGCCCTCGCAGACACGCGCGGGGGAGGAGGAAAACGCAGGGTGTGGAAAGAAATCTCAGCTCTATAGCAAAATCACAGGAGGACGTGATTGCTGGATGTTAGTCCTGGGAGGGCGGTGCATTTATTTTAAATGATTAGATGCTCATTCGGACGATTTGTCAAAATGTAGCCAAATAAAATGCTACCAAACATCTTAGGATGATAAAGGAATACATGGTTGGTAAATCTAAACTAATATATTAATTTAAGGTAATTTGCCTTCTGTCTTCTTTTCTGTCAGGTTTTAAAGGTGTTGTCACTCACATAAATAAGAAATAAATAAAATATAATAAACACATAATACTGAACATATTGTCATCAAAGAAGATACCAATATAGAGATGAGTGGAAATAAGTAACACAATAACATTTCTCCTCTCGCTGTGTGTTTTGCAGTAAATAGAAATTAATTCCAAAAGAGACATTCAAGCAGGAAATAGTGCACTGTCGCCTTGTGATGGTGTAGTGCTCTTTACTAGTGTATTATATCTACAACACTGTCTGAATGCACAATCACATGAACACATACAACCAGAAGCAGTTCATCATTATCAGAACTAGGGCTATGAGGTGATGAGCCAAAGTGGCCCTTAGCACATACCCCCCTCAAAAGAATGTGGACTTAACAGTCTTATAGTTGAGGTGTACAGTGTAAACTCTCCACAGGTTAGCCCAGATTCCCAGAAAGAAACGAAGGACATGACCTCAGTGCCCTGGGCCCTGGTCATATGTGCAGCAGTCATGCAGTGAGGGTAATAAAGCTCTTATCTGCAGTGTCAAATTACAGCCAGGGCAGTGGCTGCATGGACAGCCTGTTCTTTGCTAGAGAAGCCTTGAAAATCAATATCAAATCAATGTTAATGTCCAGCTCATTCACACCCAGAAAACAGACAGCTGAAGGCTGAGGATTTACAGCATATCCAGGAGATTTATGTCAGACTGTAAGAATGTGCTGGACTAAGTCTCTGGTAAACCCCTATAATCCTCTGCCAGCTGCAGTGGCCTCTTATGATTAAAGTAGTGAAAACATTTAGATTGGATGCTGTCCATCAGATGACACAGCTGCCTGCTCCAGCTCGACTCGGTTTATGCTCCTCGCGTCCGAACACCTTCACACCCATTTATGAGCCCTGACTAAACACCGGTGAATGCTGTTAAAGTGTGGAAAAACAGTCACAAAGTGAGGCTGAAGTTTTACAGGCTGGTCATTGCTTTTTATTGCTGCCCAAACGAGTTGCCGTGTGAGCTGAGATTCCATGCTTGATGAACAGGACAGTATTACAAAGTGGAAACCTTGGGGCTCAGATACACAAATAAATGAGGAAAAGTTGCCAACAATATCCAGAGTTTGGCCTTCTAGTGCTCCAAAGCCCAAACTTTTATCCTGACTTTTGATTCCCAGAGACTTCAGTGCAGCAGCAGGAGTTTTCTTTTCACAGGAATCTACAGAGGAAGTGACTTTAGATATTTCTGTGGCCCGCAGACGACCTCTGAGCAGTGAAAATGTGACCCAGTTTCTCTTTAACCTTCAGGCGGTGTGTGACCTCATGAAGAGAGGAGGTCAGCATAGTTTCATGGTCTGACTCAGCGCTGACCCATACATATTTGACATGAATGGACTATTTCCCCCCTTTTCTTTGAAACAAATAATGCACTAGCATGTCTGTTGCACCCAAGCAGCCTGACTCTCAGTATGTTCCTTTGTGGTAACTTTATTCATTCGAGGAAATTTGTATTAGAAGCCCATCCATAGTAAATCAGTGGTCACAGTCAGATTTTTCATGTTTTCCTCCTTAAATTCCTGATGTATTTGTGCAGTAGACTCAAACCTGCAGAGGTGTTTTAAAGGTAAACAGTGTGTGAAGTAAATATTGAACACTGGTCTATACAGAGCAGCTGAGCACACAGTTTATCATTTTGTAACCACTTTATGATGTTTACCAAATCACTACTGCCAGGAAGTGGAGGCGGCAACAAGTGGCTACTAGGTTTGAGTTGAGGCTAGTAAACAAAGCTAAAGAACAATTAACAGGTTAGAAGTGTATTAATTTATTCACTTTGGAAATCAGTGTAATTTCATCCATTACATCTATTGACTGAGAAACTACAGAGGTTTTATTCATAAAACAGTTGAAAGAAAATGGTTATTTATTTTTTATTGTAGTGTGTCATTAAAGTAAAATCTCTTTTCTCATTAGAAGTTTTACAAATGCAAATGCAAACAAATATTAGTAAATGACAATGAAGTCAGAGGAAACCTTTTATCTGTGGTGCAGTTTAAAAAATATATTTCTGTTAATTCAGTTGCTGTTTTCAACTCAAACCTTTTGACACAATCACAAGCCACAGTACTTCCTGCTCAATAGCTGCTAACATTTTGACCTAATTCTGTTTCGAAATATTACTTTTTTTAGGGTGACAATTCAAAACTTTGGTGAAGTGGAAGGACATTTTGAAATTTGCAGCTCATTGATGTGTGTAATCCCATTTCAACCAGGAAGCAAAAAAAGTTGGGAAGGGTAGAAGTTAAAGTCATTGCTGGAAACAAAACATTACAAGAAAGAAAGAAACAAACAAAAAAATCAAGGTCAAATAATTTAACTCCAGATTTTCATTTAATCCTGTAAATCAATACAAGTTAACAAGACCAAGTCTGTACATGCTAACTGAAACCTTTGAGCTGAAAGTTTAAAAAATGTGCATATTTGATATTGCTAGGTTAGAAATCTGGCTCATATCTTGTAATTTTACCTGTCACTTGCAACAATTTATATGTTTTGTTCTTTTCATTGCAGAAAAAAAAAGAAAATAAAAACAAAAAGGTTATAAAAGTTATCTTGAGTCAAAATATCGAATATAAGAGGCTTAAGTCAAAAACTGCACCTACTATTCATCATGAGGTGATCAACTGACTTGAGAGAAGTTTGTATTTACATCTCAGAGTTAAAACCATTTTGATTTGCCAAGTGGTTTTTTTTGTTTTTGTTTTTACTTGTGTCTGACACATGTGACCCATCATATGCAACCTGAATAGAAATTTCACCTGTATTTCTGCTGCAAGGATAAACATGTTTGCTGTGGAAATAACACTGAAATGTGCCGATCAGGTCACAGATAGGTCACAGAATACGGTGCAACAACAGGTTTATTTCTAATAAAGGTCTTTCTGTGGAGTGGGGGGGTCTGTTCTTGTGTGCGCAGGTGCCGACGGGAGGCAGGATCAGCAGACGTGCACACGTCACCGCCGGACGCTCGAGCTAGAGAAGGAGCTTCGACCTGCACCTCCCGACGGAGGATCGAGGTCGCGCTCGCCCTCTGCCTCAGGGAGCTGCAGAGCAAGAGCTGGTTCCAGAACCGGGGAATGGAAGAAGAAGGATTAGATCAGCACCACCCTTCTTCCTCTCCTCCACGGCTGGAGAGGAAGAGGAGTGTTTATATACACAGTCTAAGACAACAGCTTATAGGCCTACAGTCCCAAAATGAAACGCGACCTTGTTGTGCAGTGTTGTCATCCAGAGAACAGCTAGTCTGGGTGAAAAAGGACACGTTACATGCATAATCTTGTGCCTCAGATTAGGCTAGTAGACTGTGCACTGACATACATTTCAGGCTAAAAAGAGCAGCCCGTTGTCCAAATAGCAGACCTTCAACTTGTCTCTTAAACGTGTGCTAAAAGTGGAGAAACAGCGTGGAGAGAATTCAGAACAATACCTGACAATATTAAACGATGAGGATCTTTTTAAAGGTATAATTTGTGTGGTTAAGTTTCAGTATCCAAGTCGAAAGGGACGGGACAGTGGTTGAATGAATGGACAAGGTGTTTATTAGCCTGTTAGTGCTAATGCTAACAGTGTATTAGCCTTAGAGTAAGAGGGGGGGGTTGCGGCTTTTAGCCACAGAGCTCGGTCACTTTTATTTGAATATTGACTGAAGCGTCCGATAATATCAACCCATCAAATTATTAGTGGTAAAACTGGATGCAAATGAAGCGTGAGTTCTGATTCAACAGTTTAAAATAAACTGTTTTGCTTGTTTTCATCAAACAAAGTAATGTCCCTGAAATTCCTGAACCTATAAGTTCATGTCTAATGTGTTTTATAGGGCTGTCTGTTCAATTCGATTACAGTAAATGCATTTTTTTATATATATAATTGACTGTTTTTGTCTTTATATTCTGTATTTGCACCTGTTTCCATGTTGCCTGAGACATAGTCAAACTGAAATGCACTTATGAAAACTGTTAAACTGAGTGTGCTCCCCCTTTGCCTGGAAATAGTCCCAGATATTAGCTGTTTAAGGGTTTGAGGCTCTGTTGGAATATATAAGACAAAACTATGAATATTGTTACTACACCCTCTCCCCATAATAAAGGTACTTTATAGGACTACGTGAAGTCATTGGTTGTGGTCTGAGACATAACTTCAGCATGTGGTTTTCTAAAACTGCATCATGTGTCTGGAGACATTGTTGCTGTTTATTTCATCCAGGTGTTAGGAAGTAGCCTAACACACATAAATATTCCACAGTGTGGTATTTCTGAATTGAATTTCTGATGTTATCATTATGGCTCTTACTCTACAAACTGTTTCTATCGCCGGAGGCCATTTTAACATATCAGGCACAGTAGTCTCAACTGTGTGTCTCAAAATCTAAAACCTTCTCGTTCCACACAGATACATTGCATTTGAAGTTACAAATGTGTAGTTCAATTTGTGGCAAACATTTGTCTTCCACCTGTTAAAATGCCTGCTCAGTCAAACATTTTGCATTTAAGATGTACATTGGTGTTGCATATTCAAGTTCCTGTTCACAAGACTGTGAAACAATGATACGTGACACGTCCACGTAAAAGTGCAAAGGCACTTTACATCAACAACTTCAAGCCTCAATTGAAAAAACGGGAGAATGTTTGCAGAAAAGTGTCATTTTCAACCATCCGCTGTGATCATTCTTTTCACAGTGTGCTAGTAGAATACACTCGTTTACAAATTTAAATCTATGAATTTAATGAGCGTTTAGATAGATAGATAGATAGATAGATAGATAGATAGATAGATAGATAGATAGAGGAAATTGTCAAACGCTTGTAACAACCTGCAGTACTGTATTTTGGCTTCAGTCCGTCCCAAACAACATTGAATTTTTATTTGTATTTATTTGCAAAATCTGAAAATGGCTTATAAAAATTGTAATCAATTATCTTTTAGTCATCCTGATTGAAATAACACATTTTTTTGCCAATAAATATATTGTTGTGCGTAGTAATCACAGATATTTATGGAACAACTATAGGCCTAAATCTTTGTGTAGGACAATTTAAAGTTGACTTGAATATTGTCTGAATGTAATTTTGAAGGAAAACTGAAGCCTATGTGGAGGAAGAGATTTCTTTTTAACCTGTACTGTACCTCCAGACCCAGACAGTCCGTCCAACTCCATGCTCATCACAGCGGCTGCCTTCGTCGGCACTTTCCCCACGTTTACCTGGATTACATTGCAGATTGGCCATAAACATCCAGGTCTGCTCCCGTGAAGCTGCACAAATATTCACCAAATCCAAACGACGTTTCGAGGAGACACGGGTGCCTCTTCAAGTGCTGTGCAGCCTGTGGAAACCAGAAAGACCGAATGGGCGGTGGTGTGTGGGGGGATGTTATAGCAGGTCCCACTGTCTTTATTGCGCCCATGAAAAGGCCGGAAACCTCAATAAAAATCAAGAAACACACAAAGAAACCAAGGGATCGAGGAATCCTGCTCTGTGCTGTTGCTTTGATTCTTGTTAATTTTTAACATGGGGTTGTTGCATAAAGGAAGTGTTGGATCCACGTCCCCTGCTGACCAGACATCACGCTCTTTGAAAAGGTAACGTGGGTCACTGGAGGTTTCAGATCGAGTTTTCTGGATTTAAATAATATACGGGCTAAATTTGCATGCTGTCTGTGCTGGAAAATAATTTTTTACGAGCATCCAGGCTTTGATTGAATGGAATTACTTTGTGTTATTTTTATTTCGTCCTGTTAGTAGCATCCTGGCTTTACTCGTAAATTCCTACCTGTTAATTGGAAGCTTTATTATTCAGACTGAAAAAGACGCAGAGTGAGGAAGTCAACAGTGTAGCATACATACAACCAATACCACCACTATCCATCTATAGATAGATAGATAGATAGATAGATAGATAGTGTACATTCGGTATCTGCAGTTTTGCTGATGCATAAACAGTATTTTATCATCATTTTTTAAATCATACTGCAGCAAACTGGGGACATTCAGCCTTCTTTAAGATTGGTGAGGTGTTAGATTTTGGCCCAGGGTCCTGTGTGGGAGGACAGGGACTTCATTAACAAATACCGATATGTGCATTTAAACATTTTTATACACGGGGTCAAGGAGAGAAAACTATTCCTCCCTGCCATTCAGGTGTGTTTTCACACCACTCCTACGAAGCCACGTCATCTTCGGTCGGTTTTAACTGTTGTAATGCAACGTTATGTTAAAAAAAAGACTGCATTGTGTCTTAGCAGACCCTAAGCGCCCTGCGGCCCAGGCCTGCGGACCTTAAAAGTGTGACGAGTTGCCGCATTGCGAAACCTCTTTTACGCACAACGTTTCAGGAGCACAACAACCCTCAGGTGATGCTTTTGTTATGTCTGCAGGTCGTCACTGAATTAAAGTGTACTTTGTTCATTTCCCTGCAGTAGATACAAACAGGCAGCAGAGAAGCCTGTGGCAGAACTCCAAAGCTCTTTAACTAAATGACACGTCTTACCATTATATGAACTATTAACAATGGCGTTTTCCTCTGCCCATCCTTGTAAATGATTTTTAATTTCCCCAGCACTGTACTGGTCTTCGTTGTCTCTTGCATTATGGTGCAGCCACCCAGACAGTCAGCATTCACTGCTTTGGTTCAGTAACACCTTTTTGCCAGAGCGACATCCAGTTACATGGCACAGCAGCCCAACTCTGAATAGAGGTGGTGTGGAAATTTTAGATCATCTTTCTTTTGGTCGCTTTAACCCCGGATATTCTGATATGGAATTATTATTATTTTACTTATTACACCACAAAGTGTCATGAACACCAGAACACGATTAAGATAAAATCAACTTTGTAGTTGGATCACTCTGCCAAAGTGTGACACCTTGTCTTTTTATATCTGTTTCTGCCTTTTAATCAAACGGGTTTTTTTTTAATCTTTTGCTTGATGTCGTAGGCTGTATTGACAAGTAATACACCATCAAATAAAACATCGCGTTACCTTCCAAACATACAGTTACAAGGCAAAGGAAAAAAGACAATAAAAGCTATATTCTCCGTTGGTTCTCTGTGTTTTGGAAGCTGCTTGTTTAGTGCTTGAAAAGAGGCACGAAAGGAATAAAATGGCGGCGGAGAGAATGAGAGAAAGAGAAGGAGCAGTTCCCCTCTCACAGCACTCCATGAAGAAATGCAATAAATTCCTTGTTTTATATGAAAATTTACAACTTTGTGATACAAGTTTATGAGTGGCCACGCACGGGGATTGGCCGACGAGCTGGTCATGTGGACGCGCTTAACGTGAACATGAACTTTTTATGATTTCCCAAGTGGCTATATTGCTGCTGCACAATTATGTGGCCGCCCCCCCCGGCCCCCGCCCGACCGCCCGCCTCTCCTCCCCTGCTCTTCCTGGGGCTGCGAGGCGCTGCGCGGAGCCCGGAGACCGCGAGGACATGGAAGCCCAGCTATAATTAAAGGGACGGGTTAATGAAAATACTAGTTGTGTCTGTGGAAACCGGCACGAGGAGACGTTGACAACAACCCGCCCCTTGCCCCCTCCTCCGCTATGGCCCCGCGTTCCGTCTGGTCTCGTGCTAATCGACGGACCGAGATGGGGACAGTTCCGCTGTCCGATGGAGACAGGGGGGAAACCGCGAGACCCAGCGCGGGAAATCCATCCCGGAGAAGACCTCATTAGTTGAATTGTTAATGTGTTTCCTAATTTGACAGTCTATTGTAATTGTACCTTGCCACGGCGAGGATGATGACGATGATCGGTGATGAAGATGACGGCGATGTTTTGACGACTAGGTGACAAGGGGGTGAAAGCACCCCTACTCCTGTTCCTCCTCCTCCTCGCGCCGCCACTCCTCCATCCAATTATCATCCATCCATCCGGTCTACATACGGCAGGGCTGTCTCGTGCCATTCCGGTGTTCCTGGCTGCCTGCACGCGGGAAGTGAGCTGCAGGTGTGTGGAGCTCTTGACGGCTTATCAACAAACGGTAAGAGCCGTGCTTGCACGTTCCTTCTCCGGCAAGGCCTGCGCATGGTGCTGCATGCGCATTGTTAAAGGGGAAAAAGAAGTGAGACTGCAGAGCCCTGCGTGAGTCTACTGCCTCTGGTTGATACATTAAGGTTGTAAATGAGGTGCTACTTTTCCAGATTAGAGCGTTTCCTTGCTGGATTAGGCTCCATAATGAATTATCCAGATGGATTGGCTCTGTAAGTGACGGGATTAGCTGCGGAAGAGCCATCCATCGGTTAAATCTCGGCTGTTTGAGATCCGGAAGATTAGCTCATGTCTCTTTGCCTCAAGCCGTGCACGGTGTATGGAGGGAGGGGGTAGCTATAAGTGAGGCTGGCTTTGATGTGAGGACAGGTGTGCAGGGTTGTACAATCAATATGTTTTTGCATTTTGTTTCAAGAAAAGAGACCTGAGTTTGTACATTTTACAGGTTGTCTCTTATTTTTTTCCAGCAGGCTGCAGGGAAAGTGGGATGACTGTAAATGGTCTCTTTCTCTCTGTCTGTCTTTCCTTTTGCGCTGTGCTTGTTTATTTAATTGTTTTACTTCTAGTCCTGAATGACAACCTGTGTGTGTGTGTGTATGTGTGTGTGTGTGTGTGTACACAAGAATGTTTTTCTGGCTTTGTCCGTCCAGCCCACTTTTATGACTTTGTTTCCCTTCTCATTTCCTCCCTGCGGCACCCGGACTGTTTTTTTTTTCGTCAGCTAACTGGCCAGGACACTAACCCCCCACCCCACCCCAACACACACTCTCTCACAAACATCTGCATGTCTGTCTGTCTGTCTCTCTTCTTTTTGTCCTTCAATTTGATGCCGTCTCAAATATCAAGAACACGACTACGGGCAGGGGGAATCCCTTCCTGCCAACACACACTCTCTCTCTCTCTCTCTCTCTCACACACACACACACATTGAAACATTAGAAGAATTTCCCCCCTGGCATGATTTCAATTTCACAACACAGGACTAAATGTTCGTACTTGCTGGCATTTGACTTTTCCTTGTAGGCTAGTGATTTAGAGAATGCGTGCATGGTTTGCACTACTGTAAATGAGAG